GCTTTTGCCAACGCATGCGCAGTTCGGTCGACATACAGTTTTCTGTATGTCTGACATGGATTATCCCAGAGCCTTCGTTTCCTTCCCAAGGATCGCAGGCTCGGGGAACGAGATTGGCTGCTTATTTTTTTGAAAAACATGATAATTATATTGCTGTGAATAATAAGTTCTAAACTGTTTGTTCTAAGGCAACGCTTGCCCTGTTTTTTTTTCAGATTATGATCGCAGATTATATATTGAGATATCGCACTTGCGTCAAACCACAGAGTACTGGTGTATCACACTTCTTCATTGGGTCTCACTGTTTACCGGGGGAGGGGGGCTGTCTCGACGTTTTGGGGCTGAACTGCATATCTTACGGTATTTCGGGAAATAATTTTTTTACTGATCAAAATCTTCAGATCTGCAGGCTATTAAGAAACAAGTCGCACGCGTAAAAATCTCACAACTTGTCAAGAAGATGTGTTCGCAACAGGCTTATAATGTTATATCAATTATGTGCAAGTTGTAACAATGCTGTTATGTCATCAAGTTGCCACAACGTTGTCACGCACAACTTGTTGACAAACTTTTGAATTGCAGGACGAGTTGAATTGCTAATTGTTGCAGATGATAACTTGTCAACAAGCTGTGAACAAGCAGTGCGAACACATCCTGTTGACAATTTGTTGGAAGAGCCTTTTGCTACAAGTCTGCTTCAGGTTTGTTTGTTTTGTTACAACTTGTGCGTTTTTCCGTGAGCATGTTTTAAGAGCTTATGCGCATGCCTTCCAATCTATTTTGAACACAATGTAAATATCCATGTTTTATTTACATGTAAAGGACTTTGTAGACAATTTCTTGTTCGGTTGGAGATTTTTCCTGTTTATCTCGAGAGCTGGATATACTGTAGAGTCCCAAAGCAGGCCGAGTCTTAAGTATCTTATCATCTGAACTCGGAAGCTCTATAAGGCAAGGGTGGGTAGTAGCGAAGTAGTTTTTGACTACTTTTTTTAAAACAGTAGCTGTAGTTATAGCGAACTTTAGCGAACGACATTTTGCCTAAAAGTAGCCAAGTAGTTGACTACTTTTCAAACAGCGAATCGCTTTCGCTACTTTTTAAAATTGTTAGCAACCATTAATATTCAAGGATCCTTCCCTTTATTGGTTGTCACTGAAGCAGAGAATATATATAAGAACCTTGTTGGTGACATGTATAATAATAAACTCTGGTGAACCAGTTAGAATTCATCAATACTTCCAGCCGTTAAAAATTTCGCATTCATATATATAGCACAATTTGCACAAAGTTTGCAGTCTTGTGCACTAAAGAAACCTAACTTTAAGAGATCAACATTTTTTGCTAGATCATTTGGGTCTAGGGCCGGCGATTGAATGGTGGAACACTTTGGGGTTGGGCCTTTAGATAAGCATGAAAATGACATAACTGTTATTTAGATTTACTATTACAAACAAACTTCCTTGGTCTGTTTGGATTACTCTTAGTTTTAGGGCATAATTATATTGGTGTATAAATGTTCATATTTATACCGACTTGCAATTCGTGCTGCGATGTCTAACGCGATTTTCTTTTTCTGATGGATGAGAAAGGGTAGATGAGTTTATATGAATGTTCTGAGTACATGTTCCTACTTCCTTCATCTGAGCATTTATAACTCATCCGCTCCTTCACATCCATGATCCATCAGAAGAAGAAATCGCACCCCACGGAGGAAATTTCTGCCGTCCGGAGGTGGAAATCGCAGCGAAAATTGCAAGTGTATAAACGGGCCTTACTGTAAGGCCATGTGGAAAATAGGCTAACGCTAACTATGCGGAATCTTCATTATTAAATACAAAAAATCCCCAAATATACAAGGCTTCTTACGTTAGTTAAAGGCATTTTTTTATATCCATTTAAACAGGAACTGGCCGGTAAATCCAATATGCAACCGGAAAACTGAAGTACAAAATGTCTTTAGTGTTTCAGCGAACCATATCAGTTGTGAATTTGGGACTAATTCTCTGTATTCGAAAGCAGTGTTACATTGTTGTCAGATTCAATAGCTACTGAACCGCTCAATACGAAGAAACACCTCGATATCACCTTATAACAACTACCATAACATTTCAACAATTGATTATTTTATCGGGGAAAATGTGGAATGAGAAATTAACTCCTTGGCAACAACATTGAGTTTGATGACGTTTTCAATTTGAATTTTCATCTTACAAAGAAATCATAAATCATCTGTATATTAAGATGTTGTACAATACAGTAAAAGACAGTTTAAGCCGCGTATTTAATAATATTGAACCGCGGTGTGTGCCAGTCTATAGGTAGTGCCAATTGAATAAGAAAGTTGCGGATGGAATTACCTGAGAAAATACAAGGAGAACTTCAAGTCGACGAAGGGCCTTCGCTCGAAACATCGAAGTTCTCCTTGTATTCTTCAGGTACTTGTTCCATCCGCCACGTATTTAATGCCATGTGAAATACAACGAGAGAAGAAGAGAAACTTTATCATTGTCAACGTATCAAACTGCGGTGAAACGTTCCCTCCGTTTACTTGTTTTTGCCGCGTGGAGATTGTGACAGATCAGGTAGGTAAATTTTGGAACTAAGAAACTTTAAAACTTTTCCATGCATCTATAGGAGATTCGGCACTGTTATTGAAAGCAAATTCATCAGTAACTATTGTTTGATTTTCTTACATAATCGACTAAATCTTGTATTGACGTGCTTGCAGCTGCCCCTGCCCATATATGGGAGGCTTCTGGAGCCCAGTCTGCGAACAGGAAAACAGCTGCGTTTAAGAAACGCCTTAATCATTTCGTAACGCAATCCCGTGAAGTAAACATCAATTTCAGTTGTCAGTGAAGAACACTTTGGAGTTACAGTTTGAAGATGGTTTGGATAACTAGAGCGGTTGTTTTTCTGATCTGTCTTGTTGGTTGTGTCTTTGGTACTAGTACGACGCCTATGGCTTCGACGACTCCTACTGGCGCTGCGACGACAACGGCTCCAATGAGTTCTACTGAAACTGCGACAGGGGCTAGCACAACCAGTGGTGCGACAACTCAGGCTCCGACTACCGGCTCCAGTACTGGATCAACTATGGAAACAACAACGGCCGAAAGTAACGCTAGTACAGAAGCTTCAACGGCAATGCAGAGTACTTCAAACACGACTTCGTCTTCGGCTTCAACTGATGCTGTTAAAACGACCGGAGGAGGAACTACCCTTGTTCCATCCATTCTTAGCCTAATGCTGATGGCTTTTTCGTCTATGGTTTTCTATTTGGTTTAAAGTTCACGTCTTCGTCAAAGCACCGTTGTTTTAACTTTCGTTTTACATGCCGACTTGGAACTATAATATAGCAGGTGTACACACACGTACAATGTCCAAAACAGGACAACGGTGTTAAAATAAACTATAGATGTGTTGACGAGAAATAACTGGAATAGCACTTTAATACTACTTTAATAATATTTAATAGAATGTGGCAAACTTTTAAATTAAACAGTCTTTACTTTATACGCGTTGTAAAATTTTTACTGTATAATTATACGCTTGAATAATTTCTAGCACGTTCTTGAGATGATAAGTTAATGCGTAATATTTGTTGGCATTTCTAAGAAGTTATGAAAGAGATCGAGAAATGGACAAAGAGACAAAGAATCGTAATAGTTATCCAGTTTTGTTTTTACTAGTCCACCGCTGGGAAGCGGCTCCTTTAATAGAACTAAATTTTTCATAAACATATATGTGCATGCATGTTGCGTTATATTACTGTATATGCAAATAAGCGGATCTGTTGTCTTGCATAAAATGAAATATTAAACTGTATCTTAAGACGTTAAAGTAATAATAAATTATTATAGTTGTAAATGGTTTTAAACTTGCGTGTTTTCGCCTGTTCTTTGTTTTGTTTAGTCGTGTTCTATATCGAGTTGAATATCCTAGTAACAAGGAATTGCGTTTAAACCGCGTTTTACAGGTCGTTAAGAAGCTGTGACAGATATATAAGTAACATATATACTGTAAACAAAGAAATTATTTCCCCATTTGTCTTGTCGTCTTGATCGTTTCAGGCGGCCTTTCCTATTTCTTTCCAGTCTTTTCTTCAAAGAATTTCTGTGTTTAGGCGCAGCCTTTTTTAATAACAGAAAAAAATGCTTTATAATTGTGTGAGTTGTGTGAAATACTTGCTATATGTAGCCTATACGTTTATTTTTTGAAAGCTACGAATTGAGATGGATTCAACTACATGATAGATATGCAAATAAAATTTCAACGTTTCGAGAGAAGGCTCTTTGGCTTAATTTGTCTGTAAATTTCAAAAAGTTGAATCAACTTTAAAAGTGTTATTTTGTCACCAAAATTGTTGAAAGGATAACGACACATTTGAAGTGGATTCAACTCCTTGGAATTTGCAATTCACATGCAGCTTTTTGATCGGCTATTGTCACTGCCTGCGTTGGCAGACGGTTCGAGTTTACACATCACGTTTAATTTCGCAACCTTTCAACTCGCAAGCCGTCCAGATCATCATATTATTTGCACTGATGACTATCGGCGTTTATGGATTGACTAAGTTTTGCAGAATCATGTTAAGCGCGGTGTTTTGAAAAAAAACAATGAGCATGGAAATTATTTTAAGCCACCTCGTAGTGAAAATAAAGGTCACCTGCTGATTTATGCATCATACTGTTGATAGTAACAGCAGCTTGTGGGTTGCGAACAAAGAAAAGCAAAGTGAAACATAGCAAAAGAAAGTGAAACGACAATGACGACTGACCCTCGCTTTTCTCTCTCCCCCCCCCCCACCGCCCCGTCAGGGCGAGGGGTTAGATGGGTTAGATGCCTCCGATTAAGAGTGGTTAGAGTGGGAGGGGGGGGGGTCAGATTATCAACATGATACTGCACCTATATGATGATATACATCATATAGATTCAAAGATGACCGGACGATGATATACATCTACAAACGAAGAGGATGTATTGTTGACAGAACGAGGAAAATTTAGAAGTGCTTACGTCAACGCACTTTTCAATCCGTCAAAACATCAGGTATACGCAGTGTAATGTGGGATACATGTGTGTCAAATATTCATTGTCTGACGTGTCGTAAGGATCTCTAAGATCAATTCAAAGATTTCAATACTCTAAAAATGCTGACACTTGAATTCACTGGAAAGCGAGGAAGATGATCGCAACATTGGATGAGGGAGGGTGGTGTGGAGTGTTGGGGGGCGGGGGGGGGCTGTAGAAAGCTTTTATCTATTTTACTAACAGCTTTGTCCATGCACGATTACGTATATATGTTTTCAAGAGGCCGGTGTTCGGGTAAATTCCGACAGGGCGACGTACGTTGCCTTGAAATGGGAAACGAAATACTCGACAATTGACATTTTGACACACTAACTCTGTCCAAATTGTGACAGCGACGAGTGAATAAAGCAAAAACGCATATACTCCCGCCAGCGAATTGAAACAATGGCAAAGCAGGACAAACTTCGGTTAATTTCTCATGCAATTTTCTTCCAAATTTTATCAAAATTTAATCATTTTGTCTTTGGGTATTGCCGACTAGTCCCACAATTTTTTGTTTTAATACGTTTGACAATTTTTAAGTTATGCGTGCTGACAGAAACGCACACATACGAATCAAGGCGGATGAAAACATATTACGATTAACGGCGAAAAGCGGGAAACTGCAATGTTTTGAGCGGCGATATTACTTGTTAAAGGCAAGAGCGAAAATCTATTCCAAGAACTCGTGGGGGGAGGCGAGCCGGTCGAATGCCCTAAACAGAGAGAAGGGTACATCCCAGGATTGCCAATGGACGCCTTTGTTTTAGCCCGATCGGTTTTGTAAATATAACAAAGCTATTAAAAAAAGCCATTAACAGGGCCCGTTGCAATTTTGAGCAAGCACGTGCAGGTCACAAGGCTTAAATACTTAATACCAGGGCGTCTATAAGAATATTCTTATAGACGCCCTGCTTGCCTTGAGCCGTGCAATAAATTTCAGAAGAATGGGGCGAGCCTATTTAAGTGACGTTTTTGACAACACGAACGGCATGAGTAAAGTCAGAAGACTGGGTCAAGGGCTGTGATTGGTGAAAAACGTCAATTTTACTTCCGGTCGACGTCCGTGTTGTCAAAAACGTCACTTACTTAAGCTCGCTATTAACAAAATGTTTGAAGAAAGTGATTGCAATACGGATTTGTTAACAAGTTAAATTTAATATGACGTATTGATTTCTCCTGCATGATTTATTTATAAAGAGTACAAAACAGATTGTAAACAAGCAAGCAATTTTGTGTAGCAATTAATTTCTGGCAAATCAACTTGCCTCATTGAAAAATGAATTAAGAAGCAACTTCTACTTGACTGTGGTGCTATTTAGTTGCCCCGGACAAGCACTATGGCTTGTTTTATACGTCGAATTTTGGTCGCGTCGAATGCAATTAAGACAATAGATAATGAGATGATAAACCTCATTAAGCGTCATTATCTATTGTTGATTATTTCTCTTTGACTTCACATCAGAACCCTGAACCGATTGTGTGCGAAACAAGACGATAAAATCGAGGTCGATTCATTTAACGGTACTCGTCGCTGACTTGGGTCTGTTTAGTCTGGGTTTTATATGCAATTCCGCTCACAATAGCCCACTATTTTGATCAAACAGATTAAAAACACTGTTTTATAATGAACATTCTGTAAATTATTAAGGTCAGTAAGCACATCCCGAATTTCCCGACTGGCTACTTATTTACAATGGATTACACTATCCAACTCAATTCAACTCATTTAAGCCATTGTCTTGTCTTGTGTGCACTTGTGAACACTGCGTTCGCGTTCCGAACGCGGTTGGAACGCGTTCCAGAGGGAACTTGGAAACGCGTTCCTTGGAAACGCATAACTAAGTCATTACACATGATTATAAAGTATAAACATTTACAATTAGTCAAAATACTAGTGACTGTGACATTTTTGACTGCCCAACATCTCGGGTCGATTCTGTAATAAGTGCATGCTTCCAATATACATTTACTAAAAATCTTACCAACTTATGGTGATTTTCCTTACAGTGGCACGCGAATACACGCATATCAGCAATAAACATCGCTTGCGTACTATTGTTGCATGAGTTAAGATTGAAATTATCTGTATTTCTAGTAAGAAACTTTGATAGTGTAAACCGGGTTTAGTCTGATGATTATTTTATAAAGTCCAAACAGGTTTGGTAGAAAATGCGGGTTGCGGGTGTTCAATAGCCTATTCAACACACGCGTGAGTGAATAACTTTTGACAATAATTTCCATAATTTTAGACAATACTGTTAAAGTCATTAAAATTCCTTCAAAACTGTTTTTATTTATTTTGATGCCCTTTAGAGTTTTGTGAAAAGTGCGAGCATTTTCTACATGGTCATCAGAAACCTGATGGCGAATAGAGGAAATTAGCTAGATTGAGTTTTGTTTTGTCCCGGAGTATTGACCACGCACATACATGTATGTGATGTGTACATCATAGCTTATTTTGATTCACGACTCGTTCAGTGGAAAGCAAATATAAAAACGCGGCTTTATATGCAAGTGAGGCTGACTAATACTCGGGAAATCGCGATGATTTGGTTTCGTACGGTTTCGATACGAGTGTAACCGGAAGGTAGGTAGGTAATACTTTATTTAAAATTAACAGAAAGAAGAACACGCTAGCCCCATCAACTCTAGGCTGGTTTCCATGGGGGGCGTGTTTAGATCTTAAAAATCATTAAAAGGAAAATTTAAACTAAATATTAGTACACACATACTGTACACGTTACTATATACAAATAATTAGGAAGCATGTCGCTGTCCAACAATTGATTTAAACGAATGAGGCGACTCGGCCAATTTTGATTCGTTTGGGAGTTGATTCCAGAGCATAGCGCCGCTATATTTAAAACTTTTTTTAAGAAATTCTCGTTTCGGTTTAGGAATTGTTAGATCAGTTGCTGTGTTTCGAAGATGATAATTAGTTTGATCTACAGGGTGTCTCAAAAAAACCCAAAATCATTGAAATTGACGTATTGTTCGATATTCAATGCCCTAGCACTAAGTTAATCCCACGAGTGCATAAAAGATTGACATAACTGCTATAATGAATGGTAATACTCAGCGTAAACTTGTTATGTCAGGCATAAAGTACTAAACCCACGAATACATATTACGCATATTACAATTTACGAAGCATTTTTAAATTCCCATGAGCAAACAAACGTTCACTTTACAAAGATATTTTAATTTTTTAAAACAAATTAATCACCCTGTCAAAATCCTTTGTGTTACGGCATTGAAATTCGAACAATACGTTATTTCAATGATTTTGGGTTTTTTTGAGACACCCTGTATTTCTCTTCTCACGAATGACCCCCGGAGACCTGGCGCAGTGTGGTCGTTAAGTATTTTATACATTAATACTGACTTGGCACCAGACCGCCTATTTTCAAGTGTATCCCAAGAAAGCATGTTGAGAAGATCAGCTGAGCGAGTATCATAATTAGCACCCGTTAGGACTCTTGCTGCACGAGACTGAAATCTTTGCAACTTGTCTCTTAGCAACTTACCACAAGTGTCCCAAAGGGGGGAACAATAATCAAAGTAGGGCTGCACAAGACTTTTATAAATCGATTCTAAGGCATGCATTGGAACAAAGGGCTTTATACGTTTCATAGCGCCAATAGCAGCGCTCGCCTTCTTGCATATCATTTCAATGTGACTATCCCAATTAAGGGTTTCATCTAGTTTTACTCCTAGGCACATTTGTGTAGCAATTCGTGATATGGGTTTTGCATTAGCTACAACGGGTTCTAGTCCGTATGTTGTGACCTCGAAAAGTGCCTAGAAAAAGATTTTCATTAAGCATGTCTTAGATCTGAAATACTTTTACGGGAACTAACACTTTCGAACACGCTGATTTCAAATCCGAAAAGTTCCCACTCCGTAGACCCGCAGTTTTTTCACAAAATGCTATTTTATCTTCACTAGTTTCACAACAAATTTTTTCAGTGTTCAACGACACGGATCGATGACGATACACGATTATGTCACTCAAAAGGACCAATTTCTATTAACCATTCTTCCTTTAAACAAAAGACCGGTTTTGCTCGAATCATTCTGAGTTATGCAATCTTATGCGTGTTGGACGTAAACAACATATCTTGTCTACAACTATGGGAAGGTACAGATAATTCCTTCTAAAATCCTTAGTTCTGGATCTATCTCTATAAAATCACAAGGACGTTAATGTCAAGTCTTTGTGCTATGTCTCTGAGATGAGAAATAATTCCTTACAAGCGATCAAAATGTTTTATACAAAGATATAAAACGGTAATCTATATGTAATGGATCAGCATTGAAATTTCGAACAAGGTTTCCAAGACGTAATTCAAGAGATAACTTATCATTGCATTTGAACTATTACATCAGTTGGTGTTATACTGTGCGATAAGCGAGTATTATTGGAAAGAGGGCTTCTATATACGTCGAAATCATCAAATAAACAGCTCATGCACACATTTCTCCACTTCGCGGTAAGTTTACAGAGCATATTTTATACTTTGTGACTGATCTTTGTCTTTGATGTGAACATTCATTCTTATAGTTTAAGGTTATTTAAGATTGATCCTGTCGTAAGTCTTCTACCTGCAACCATTCGACAATATTTCGTTTTAGCGTTGTCTTTGCCGTTACGTTGGCTTTGCGTTACTTTTGTTTTAAATATCTTGATCGCGTTAAAAGAGTTATTTTTCAGGCCAGTGACATAGCTAAAAGACTTGATATTAATGTCCTTGTGATTTTATAGAGATATCTCTAGAACTGAGGATTTTAGAAAGCGTTATCTGTACTTTCTCAAAGTTGTAGACAAGATATGTTGTTTACGTCCAACACGCATAAGATTGCATAACTCAAAATGATTCGAGCAAAACCGATCTTTTGTTAGAAGGAAGAATGTTTAATAGAAATTGGTCCTTTTGAGAGACATAATCGTGTATCGTCATCGATCCGTATCGTTGAACAATGAAAAAAATTGTTGTGAAGTTAGTGAAGATAAAATAGCCTTTTGTGAAAAAACTGCGGGTCTACGGAGTGGGAACTTTTCGGATTTGAACTCAGCGTGTTCGAAAGTGTTAGTTCCCGCAAAAATATTTCAGATCTAAGACATGCTTAATGAAAGTGAACGATATCGGGTCACAACACACGGACTATTCCTCACACATTATATTATTAAGATTATACGGGGAGCCAATAAACATCATTTTACATTTTGATGGATGCATCTGCAGCCTATTTTCTTTAAGCCAGTTACAGACATGGGCAAGATCTGAATTTAAATTTACAACAAGTTCATTTGCATCGTGGGAAGATGAAAAGATTTGAGTATCATCCGCGTACATGCATGGATTAGTTGATTTCAAACAATCGGGCAAATCATTAATATATAATAGGAACAGCAGTGGTCCCAGTATAGATCCCTGGGGCACTCCACAGGTGATAATTTTATTACTAGATAATTCTCCATTAACACACATTGCTGTTCTCTATTTGTTAAATATGACTCAAACCATTTTAATTCTACGCCAAAAATTCCAAATTGCTCATTCATTTTATTTAACAAAATGCGATGGTTTATAGAGTCAAATGCCTTTTTTATATCTATGAACACAACCCCATTTAACTTTCCATTGTCCATATTTTCTAGCCACTCATCACACATTTGGATGAGGGCAGTTACAGTTGAATGCTTTGGACGAAATCCAGATTGAAACTTTGACAGAAGAGAGCTTTCAGACAAGTATCTATATACTTGACGGAAAACTTCCTTCTCAAAGGCTTTACTCACCACCGGTAAAATTGAAATAGGCCGATAGTTCTCACATTGTCTTTTATCCCCGGATTTAAATATTGGCGTAACACGAGCACGCTTCCATTCATCTATATATACGCCTGTTGCAAGCGACAGATTGAAGATGAATGTCAACGAGGGTGCAATTATGTTTGCAGATAATTTTAGAATTTCAGCAGGAATTTTATCAAGACCTGTTGCTTTACATGCTTTTAGGCCTCTTAGGGTCGAGGCAACACTATCAACGGATATTGGAGATACTTTAAAAAAAGTATCTAAGGATTGATTAATATTATAGTTTATGGGCTGATTATCAACATTACTACAGGACTCGTCTACATATTCTGCTGCTAGCCTCGACCCAATACTAATGAAATAGTCATTAAATGCATCTGCAATAGATTTAGGATCCGAAACTAACGTGCTGTCAACCAGCAACTCATTCACATTGTTGGAATTGTTATTCTTTCCCAATAATGAATTAATTAATTTCCAAGTCTTTTTAGGGTCATTCATTACAGAGCAATCAGTGATTTTATCATGAAAATATTTTGATTTTACACTTCGCATTTCAACATTCACTTTATTCCGCAGAAATTGAAAACTTTCCCAATGTGGCTGTGAGGAATGTTTTATTGCATATTTTTTATGATAGTCTCTGTTTCTCATCATACATTTAATTTCCGGAGTAATCCATGGGACCGAGTTCCCCTTTACTCGCTTATGTCGAATCGGCGCATGTATATTTAATATCTCATTAAAGAAAGATTTCCATACCCTCCAGCATTCGTTGGGATTATTATATTGATTAATTACATGCCAAGGCATTCTGGTTAAATCCCCAATAAAATATTCAGCATTAAAATGTTTATAATCCCTAACTTCTTTCACATTAGGTTTAAGTTTTGGAAGGGTGAACTTCCTGACCACATAAATCAAACTATGGTCAGACATCCCCAGATCTATTACACCAGACGTCGAAATGTTTTCTTTAGCATTAGTTAAGACCAAACCAATCAAGGTCGCCGAGGTGTTGGTCTCTCTTGTAGGTTTATTAATTAATTGGTCAAGTTGATAAAGAGAACACAAAAAGTTTAATTGTCGTGTATGGGCATCTGGTGAGGTTTTCATAACATCGCAGTTAATATCACCAATTATAATCAATTCCTTATTTTCAGACTCGCATTTTTGAAAAAATACATCACAATCATTAAATAAGCTCAAGTTTGACTTCGGAGGCCTATACCATGTGCAGACAAAAAGCGACTTGCTAAAGGGGCGAGTAATTTCAGCACACAGCATCTCAAGACGATCGGGCACCAAGTCATTCCTATCCAAATAGGATAGGTTGTCTCTGATATACAACACCACACCGCCTCCTGCCCTATTACGGTCCTTTCTTATCAAGTTAAAACCAGGGATACTTATTTCCCCATCCATTACAGAATCATCTATTTTGGATTTATTAATAGCAAAAATATCGAAGGGAAATTTAAATAACAGATGCCTAATTTCCTCAATGTGTTTCAATAAGCTATTGACATTTATACTAGCAATTTTTAGGCCTTTTAATCTAGCGACGCAATGCAATGCAGAATCAAACTCACCCATTGTTGGACCACGGCATGCTTTACCTGAATTGTCATTCCCAACATCTAACGGCGAGGTTTCTTGTATAGTGGAATTGTCGTTGGTTGGGTTGTTAGCTGGGTTAGTAGTTGTCCCAGCTGATGTATTGGGTTTAAAAAACCCGTTTGCAGCTTCGCTCGTTTTCCCAATGGCCTAATAAATTTTATAAAATTATTGGCTAAATAAGCCGATCCCTTTGCGTTCAAATGTAGTTTGCTGCCGTTGAGGCATGTTCCATCAATACGCGAATTGTCAATAAAAACAAAGTCATCATTGTTAGCCATCTCCTTTAACTTTCCATTGACTGCAGATAACTTTGCCGACACATTGATATCATCTCTATGTATAATGCTGGAGATGCCAATCTTTGAATTTTGAAATTTTCTGCGAGTCTTCAAAGCCAGCTTTTGTATTTTTCGAACACATGAGTCTACGCTTTCGGATGATAGATTATTCGTACCTACATGAATAATTACATATGATAGTTCATCGTTCATTTGTATATTGTCTATTTCATCATGTATTTCTTCGACTCTTTTACCTGGAAACGACCGCTTATAGACTGTCTTTTTGGAGAGTTTTCGGGGGTCTATGTGCTTAATTATGGAGTCTCCAATAATCAAAACTGATTTCGGTTTATCGCTCGACTTATCGACGTCTTGTATTGATGTTGATGTTTGACCTTGTCCACTGGCTTGGCTCTGGATAGCTTCGACAGGCTCTTCTACTTCGATAGCTTGCGATCCTTGCCCACTGGCTTGCCTCTGAATGGCTTCGACAGTCTCTTCGATAACTTGCGGTCCAGATATCGCTAGTGTAGAATATCTATTTTGGGTTGGAATATCCGGATAGGCTCTACTCAGTTGACAACGTTGACAGTCGTCAGCTTCGTCGGAATTAATTTTCTCTCCAGTTGACTCGCTACTATTTAATGGTTGGTTGACTCCTAATTCTTTGTTTAATAGCCAGATAGCTGTAATTAGACTGGCTTTCTCTTCTTCCGCTTGTTTCACTTTATCTTGAAGGTCAGTTAGAGTGCAACTCAAATTATTTATCTGTTCTGTCAAGCGCCCATTTTCCTTTTTAAGTTCAAGATTTTCGTTTCTCAATCTGATCGCCTCGCTATCCGACTCTTGATTTTTAAGTTGTTCAAGTCTATTCGAGTGCTCCAACAATGTACTGTTTACAGCTGACATGTTAGCACTGAATTCTTTTGCTAGGTCTTGCAGTTTATTGTTAAGAAAGTTTTTAAGGATCTCTAAGGGATCGTCTGCAACTATGCAAGCAGGATTTGCATCCGCTTCGGGACGGCCGAGCGCCCCGCGGCATTTGGTATTATCAACGATTTTGTTTGATATAGAGGCTAAAGATTTTAGTTTCTTTTCGATCTCGTTCTTGTTTTTCCCACTGACTGTGATTGTTTGTGTCTTTACATACCACCGAATGGATGTATCATCATATTCAAAGAGTTTGCCATCGCCACCAGGGGAAGACCATTCTCCATCGCATAAATTCAAACCTTCTTCTACAAATTGTTGCAAGAGCTCATATGATGAGGTCCAAATCACTTTGCCTTTAGTGTTGACATCTAGATTGTGCAATAGACTTTGCTTCGGATCCATTTGTCCTAGCTTCACAATAAATAATTATCTGTAGACTTTCAGTAGACTTTTATAATAAATATAAGCGGAGCACTAAAACACACGTCTGTTCACTACGAAATCACAATCACAATCACAAAAAAAAAAAAAAAAAAAAAAAAAAAAAAAAAAAAAAAAAAAAAAAAAAAAAAAAAAAAAAAAAAAAAGGCGTTCCGCAGATGCGTTCCGGTAACAGTGGAACGCAAAAGGAACGCAATTGGAAGCGAATGGAACGCGAATGGAACGCTAATGGAACCCGAATGGAACGCAAAAAAAAAAAGAAAAAAAAAGAAAAAAAAAAGGCGTTCCGCAGATGCGTTGCGGTAACAGTGGAACGCAAAAGGAACGCAATTGGAAGCGAATGGAACGCTAATGGAACCCGAATGGAACGCAAATGGAACGCATTTAGGAACTCGTTTCGGACGCGTTCGGGACGCGTTCCGAACGCGTTTTGATTGATTGATTGATTGATTGATTGATTGACATCTTTATTTAAACACGAGGTCCATTTCACAGGTTATGTTATGTGCTCTTCAATGGAGACGTGTACCTATACTAATAGACTAATTACTAATAAAAAGGTATCAAACTATTTACAAAAGTAACAAGCTACACATGCAAAGAAACTAATATAAAAGAAATATTAAGATATTTTAGATTTAAACTCAGCGAGAGATTGAACTCTAGTGAGTTCGACGGGTATGTTGGGTACGTCTGGTTTCAAGGTTGGTCCAATTCAATGATGTTAAAATATCTGATGACCGGATGTTATAATCAGATTCAGTAATAATCCTTGCAGCTCTATTCTGTAATCGCTGTAACTTTTGTCCAAGACACTTACCTAGGCTATCCCAGACAATACTACAATAATCAAAGTATGTCTGTGCTAAAGAGTTATAGATCATGACAAGAGTTGACTGTGGGAGCAATGGTTTTAGTCATGCTCCCATGTCAAACTCTCGTCCAGTTTTAAACCTAAACACTTATAAGATCTAACTCTTCCAATTTTGTTTCCGGAGATAGCAATATTAGGTTCATCAGGAATAGTACTTAATATTTGCCTGGATGCAATAAACATACATTTAGTTTTAATCGCATTCAGGCTTAGTTTATTCAGGTTAAGCCAGTTTTGGAGAGTTTAAGGTCGTCATTTAGAACAGAAATCAACTTGTCAGGGTTGCTGTCCGCAAAAGTCAAGTTGGTATCATACGCACATCTGATACCAATTCGCTATTAGGTAGGTCGTTTATATATATTAAAAACAGTAGTGGACCTAAGATAGATCCCTGAGGAACTCCACATGTTACTTTACGAGTATCAGATCGTATGTTGTTAACAACTGTCACTTGAGTACGATCAAAAAGATCAATCGTTTCTAAAAAGATCAATCGTTTCTTTGTTGAAACCGTAACAAGTTAACTTCTGTAGTAAAATGTTATGATCAATGGTATCAAAAGCCTTTTTTAAATCAATGAATAAGACAGCATTTATTAACCCACTGTCCATGTTAGTGTACCATTAATCAGTGACATCAAGCATAGCTGTTAACGTTGAGTGAAGAGGTCGGACTAAATCCTGACTGTATGTCAGATAAAAGGTTGTTTTTGTTTAAGTTAAAAAGGCATATGCTTGGTCAAAGACAACTTTTTCAAAAATTTTTGAAATTACTGGAAGGACTGAAATAGGCCTATAATTATTCAAATCAAGTTTTGAATCATGTTTATAAATTGCTGATACCATGACACACTTCCAGTCAGCGGGAATAATTCCCTTGCGAATTACTAAATTAATAATGTGAGTAAGTGAAACCACAGCAGTGAAATTAATTAGTTTTAATAAACGAACAGGAATGTTATCAAGACCGCTAGCCTTAGAAGTCGATAATTTATAAATTAGTCCATCTATTTGAGATGGAGTAACTTCATGTAATTCAAAAACTTCATTACATTGTGGAATGTTATAAGAGGCTGCACAAGTTGTTGGAATTTGCGCTGCTAATTTAGGTCCGATTTCAGTGAAGTGCTTGTTAAAAACATTGCTAATAGTTACTGGGTCAGTAATTTCGATTTCATCTTGCAAGATTTTTGGTATAGTAGAATAAGCAGCCATCTGGGACAATGAATAAGCAGCTATCTGGGACAATGATGAGCTTCTTTCCGTTTAGATTTAGAAAGAAGACTGTTGATACCATTCCAAGTTTCTTTAGTTCGACCTATACGTAGAGTTGAAACAAGGAATTATAATATTGCTTTTTACTATCTCTAATTTTATAGTTAACTAGATTTTTAGCTGTTTTAAAATTGACCCAATCATTTTCATCATTAGCATAAACTGCTTTACGCTTTAATCGATCTCGTTCCCATATTAATTTCTTGATTTCTACAGAGAGCCATGGGGAACAATTTTTCCTTATTCTTCTTTGTTTGACTGGAGCATGCTTATCAGCAACATCAAGAAATAGTTTTTTTCCAAATTTGCCAAGCATTTATAGGATCATCTAAGGAAACTATGTACTGCCAAGAAATAGCATCAATGTCATGCTTGAATGAAGTTTCATCAAAATTTTTATAACTGCGGGATTTGATTGTTATAGGCTTAGATTTAACACTAGAGTGTTTTCTGATAGCATAAATTAAGTTATGGCCGCTGATACCTAGAACTATAACGCCCGCAGAAGTAAAGTTGTTCGGTTCATTAGTAAGAAAGAGATCGATTAACGTGGATGAACTATTTGTAACTCTAGTTGACTCCTTAATAAGTTGAGTATATTGATATGACTCATTTAGTTCAAGTAAATGTTTAGTATTATTATCTGCAATAGATGCACTCATGTTACAATTTAAATCACCAATGATATTATTTTCAATACCAAGGAACTCGATTTTATCTAAAATTACCTGAAGTTTGTCAAAGAGATCCGTGCAAGAATTAGGAGGTCTGTACCACGTTGATATTAGAAGTGGTTTAACTTTAGGTTTACTGATCTCAACGCACAGAAACTCAAGGGCTTCATCATGAAGATCATTTCTGAGATTAAAATTAATTGAATTTCTGATATACATATAGCTACACCGCCTCCGTGTCGTATTCGATCGTTCCTAACTAAAGTATATTTATCAATTGATATTTCAGAATTACTAATAGTTTCATCAAGACGAGTTTCGTTTAAGACCAGTATATCTAAATATTGATGTTGCATGTTTAATATTAATTCATCGATATGCTTGGGTAAACTTGCAATGTTTAGAAAAGCAATTTTGAAGCCTCTGTGTTTAGGTAAGTTGAAATCAGTTTGTTTGTGCGTATTAGAATTGCTTTTATCAACATTAGAAAAGGTTTGGTTAGACATACCCGTCGCTACTAATCAATGATTAAGGTGGTCTTCCGCCCAAATTTTCCAATATTCGTTATTTTTTAGAAAAACGTAAAAATGTAGTCTTTATAGCGTTCTTTATAAAATCCGTGTAATTTTAAGAACGAAAATGTACCGTAAACGAGAGAAATCCAGCAAATTCTACACCTTCGTAGGGTAAAACCACGATCTTACCCGGAGCGATAAAGATATGCGATTGGTTTAGTCTATTGTTCCATTTTCAATTATATTGTTCTATCTAAGTTATTCTAATATATGCAAAAACTTTAAAATCGCTTTTCTCACATGAGCATTTTGCGAAATACTAAAAACTCTCCAACTGTTCATACTGAATTAATTCGTTCGAAATTTTCAGAGTTTATTTGCTTGTTACATAGACAAGTCATGGACCTAAAAAACTTCATATATCAGCAATATACATTGCAAGAGTAGTCTTATAAGAACTCCTTTCTTCATATAATTTAAAAAAAGTAAAATATGAAGGCCTTATTATCTTACTTGTATATTTTTTTAGGTTCATGACATAGATCGATGTATTAAGTGCCCATTAAAGCTGTTTCTAAAATCCTAGGTAAATTAGTTTGGCTCACATCATTTTTGGAGCAAACCCTATATTTTACCCTATAGCGAGGCCTATCTTAGTTACTATGGCAACGACGAATGTAAAAGTTACTGATCTTGCGTCAGCTGAGGATATTCCATCATATTTGACTCAAATATGATGATAAAACCTTTAAATTGAAAAAAAAATGTTTTTAGGGTGGAAGACCCCCTTAATAATAGTTAGGTTAGGTCATTTCTGAGCAGTACTGTAAATTTCCGTCACGTTTCAGTCGCCAAGTTCAGCTAATTCAATGTTTAAAGCTGATGGTGATTCTTTTAACTGATGGTCATTTTCCTTTTTGTTTCCTGATGTACTAAAAACCGACCTGAAGATCGTACGCCATGGAATCATAGATTACTGTAGGCACGCCGCACTCGAGTACAAAATCATCAAATTTGCAGCTATAGTCAGATGAATTATGATTATTGAATACAATTAAGTTTAGAAAATTAATTGCTTGCCATTATCTTTTTGTTGTTTCCTCGAATTTCCTCAATCTCGAGTTTAGTAAAACTTACATCTTCCCCAAGGATTTGAAACGCAGCCCAGTACAAGAATGAAGTATACTGTCCACTTCTTTGAAATATGTTCATGGTTTCTTTTAGAGCTAGGCAGACCGATTTTTCCTCGAGAATCTTCTCGTAAAAAACTTCCATAAACTGCTTTGTAAACTCGTCGTCGATTGTCCACAGAGTAACCAGGATCGAACTTGCACCAGCTCCAAGAAATGATCTTGCAATACCTAAGACGCCTTCCGAAGATAAATTTCCCATTCCAGAGTGGCAACAGGAGAGAACGACCAGCCGTGCAGACAGCTTACACTGCAGCACATCGCTTTGTGTGAGAAGATCGGACGAAGATGTTGAATAAGTACCGTCGTTTGGTTTGTTTGATTCGGAAGCCAGGAAAATGTGTCCAGTTCCTTCATGACCATGGGAAGCAATATGAATAATGGATGCTTTAGACATCAACTCCAAAATCTTTCTCTTGGTTGCCATACGACCGGTTAGTGGTTTTGCATCCAGAAGAGATGCAAGGTATTCCACTTCTCTTGCTGCTGACGGTAGAGATGGTAGCTGAACACACTCAGGGTTTCCGACAAACAAAGAATTTCCAATTCTCCTGTTGCTCGATGACTGCATGCCCATAGCCAGGACGTAAACTGAAGGAATAGTTTGAATTTGGTATTCCTCAGACAACAGGCAGCCATTTTCGTCGATAAAGGACGAGAAAGGCGCAAAGAATAAGCAGCCATCTGGGACAATGATGAGCTTCTTTCCATTTATCAAACTTTTAACTGGGGTAATCAAAGCTCTGTATAAAAGCGAACGTGTCTCTTTGGCCAAACGTTCACGTGATTCGTCAGCTCTTACAGCTGGTGATCTGCATTCAGGTTTGCTCTTTATGTCGTTCGCTTCCTTGTCATTGTGGCCTGTTGCTTCCGCCTTTTCTTGATTCAACGCATGTTTGGGAATGGATTTCTTGGCATTTTGGACATCAAAGAGTGGCGAAGGTTTCAAAAAAGAGTACCCGCGTGAGAATCCGACGGATGCCTTCTGCAACACCTCTGTAACGTTGTCTTCCAGCTCTTCTTGAGCTGTTGTGAACATTCCTCTAGGATCCGACGTTTTTAAAGAAACGCATCCATTGGCGTCCAATACCCAAATTGTTAGTATTTTGGCGTTGTTGAAATTATAGAACAAAACAGCAGCATTAGACTCCGCTAGTTGAATTTCTTTAGATAGGACGCAAATTCGTTCCTTCTCTTTTTCATTCTCAATGGCCAACCACGTTAACTCGAAACTTGATTGACCCTTATCCTCCACTTGGTTTTCCACTTCATTGTAAGCAAGCTGTCTTAAAATTTTTGCTCTTCCCAAATCTAAAAATAACAGGGCAGCCGTAGATCTTCCTAACAGATTAAAAGGAGCGGTAAGACTATTGTGCCAACGGTAAAATTTATCCGCAAACGCTGTCTTATTTTTGTCAACTGATAAACTGGCCAAAATTGTATCGGTTGATTCTATAGCCAGTTTGAAGTTTTCGATAGAACTTTCAAACGATTCTTTAGCATCGCCGGAACTGAGAAATTTCTCCAAAGCGACATCGTAGTACATCAGTCCCCTATTTCCATATGCGATTGCCAAGTCGTGAAATTGCTTCATATGAAGGTTAGTGTCGATACACATCTTAGAATAACGCTCAGACGTTTCCATTTTACCCAATTTGTGGTAGCTGGTTGCCAAAACTCCATAAGAAACAGAAGCATTTCTCTTGTTGCCAATCTCTGTCCAAATACGTGCACTTTTTTTACAGTACGAAATAGATTTTCTAGGCTGTCCCAATTGATTATATGCATCTCCTATGTTGTGCAAGCTTCTAGCTTCCTCAACTTTGTTCCCTGTCTTTTGACTTATTCTATAAGCTTCTTGGGACAACTCTATGGCTTTTCTGGGCTCTTTGATACGATTGTGCGTAACTCCCATATTTCCATAAGTCGTGCCCAAAGCGTTGGGATCATCTCCCAATATTAAAAGTATCTCAATGGCTTTCTTCTGGCATGCGATGGCCTCCTTGTATCTGCCAAGTTTACTATATATAGTTCCAAGATGCCCAAGACCATTCGCATTCCCTGCCTGCCCAGTAGTTCCTGACTGCTGCTTAAATATAGCTATTGCGTCACTGGTCATTTTTAGGGCTTTTTCGTAATCACCCTCATGTTGATAACAGTGACCAAAGCTCTCCAAAATCAGAGCTTCCGCCATTTTATCCCCCAGTTCTATATTAATTTCTTTAGCTTTGGTGAGGTAGACTTTAGCCTCGTCAACCATTTCTTTTGCAAGCATTTCTTCACCTTTACCAACCAACTTTTGAATTTGAATCATTTTTTATGTCCTTGGGGATTTGCCCATTCCACTCGATGCCAGCTCCAACAGTTCCTAAAATTATGACATTGAGTTCTTTACTATTCGTATTATACACGGAAAATTTCGTATATTCGTCATAAACTTGCATTACATAAACTTTGTCTATCACATCACAATGATGGAAACATTTGATTCGATGAAACAGAATTGACAAATCTCTTATTTTAAGTATACAAGTATTTTTAGTATTTTTATCTTATTTTAAGTATACAACTTCGGAAAGACGCTCATTACCTAGCACAGCTCTAAAATAATACAACTTTGTTTTGCGGGCATTTACTCAAAATCACATCAAATTTGACGTTTAATTTAATCTCATTTCTGACGAAGAATTAGCACAGAACAGGCAAGATTAGCTTAACAAAAGCACCATAAAATGTGAGAAGAACACTGTTAATTTCGAGGAGTCAAATTGACTCCAAAAGTGGAGTAAATAAAAAAGGTACAGAACGACTCCTTTTTTGGAGTAAATTTTACTCCTTTATTTACTCCATTTTTGGAGTAAATTTTACTCCATAAGTAGAGTTGTTTTTACTCCTCAAAGAGTAAAAACAACTCTACTTAAGGAGTAAAATTTACACCAAAAATGGAGTAAATAAAGGAGTAAAATTTACTCCAAAAAAGGAGTCGTTCTGTACCTTTTTTATTTACTCCACTTTTGGAGTCAATTTGACTCCTTTGGAGACAAAATGACTTCTATATATCGGAGTAAAGAAAAGTCTTTAACTAACTTTAGAAATCAATAAAGACATTTTTCGAGTCAAAATAATTTATTATCCCTACAAGGTATATTATAGCAGGAAATACAATTTGCTGTAGCATAATATAATGATATACTCTTACGCCCTATAATATTTAATGCAGTTCTAAAATGAAATTTTCATTAGAATGATATCATGAATACATGTGGAATACAATTACAAGCCTGTCAGCATGAATTGAACCTGCAGCACTGCAATTCTACCACAGCCCTCTGACCTAAAGAGCCCTTTTGCCAAGTGGTAACCACAAGTTGCTGTATATATACCATGGTGGTGTCATTGGTAGTGTATTAAATAAACTGCCCATGATGACACTAGTATTATGTACATGAACTCATGGTTACAGTAGAGCTTGATTGACTCTCAGGGCGATGGACTCTTAGGGCTTGAGGACCCGGTTAAAAAGCTGATCAGAATCACAGGGCAGCAGGTTCCATTCCCAGCACAGTATTATATAGTTATCGTTCAAAAAATTTACATTTACAGAAAAGCTTTAACCCATTAAGTGGCAGCACTCTCTCCTTAATGAGCAAAAATTGTCTGACCACATTAGACAGAAAAAGTAAAAAAGTAAAGCAAATTGCCACTAAAAGGGTTAATATTTTGTTCAATGTAGAATATTTACAAGTAAAATATACTGCATGTATTAAATGTATGTAGTGTCACTGCTCAATCAAACATGTCAAGCAAGTCCATTAGTAAAAATTTAGTACAAACCAAGCTGTATACCACAAGTCGGCAACTCCATCCCTTGCATGTTTTGCTAATTCACAAAAATTATCTCCAGCAAAAGAATAACATTTTCCAAATAGACCATGAAGTTCTTAGAATGCCATTAATGATTACATATAATACCACTTGTTTAGACAACTTGCCTTCTCCTGGGAAGCTTTTGTTGAATCCATATATTAATGACAATCCCTAGTAAAAAACAATATATAAGGGTGATATATAACAGCAGCAAATTATTGATCGATGTTTGTGATGTTACTCTGAGTGTGCATTCACACCGGGCAAGCTGAAAAGTTAGTTTGGCCATGGTGGGAATCGAACCTGCGGCCTTTGGGATACTAGTCCAATGCTCTGTCAACTGAGCTACATGGTCAAGTCTGTTCGAGTTGATGATATTTTGCAACTAGTTCCAACGAGTCTAGTTCCTTCGATATCAGTGTACAGGGGTATTCAATGTTACGATTATTTTGTGTGTGTTGGTGTCATGTACTCAGGTGAATATATGATGTTTGTGATGTTACTCTCACCGAGTGTGCATCCACACTGGGCAAGCTGAAAAGTTAGCTTGGCCACGGTCACAGGTTTGATTCCCACTGTGGCCAAGCTAACTTTTCAGCTTGCCCGGTGTGGGTGCACACTCACAGTGACATCACAAACATCATATTATCACCTGAATACATAACATCAACACACACAAAATAAAAATTATTGATTGATTGACAATACATTTGCTATTTTTGGTTGTTTGCATATACAAAGCAAGAAATACAAAATTCAAATGCTTTTACTCATTTAATGTAAGCATGCAATTGAACTAACATCATCCAAATGAATACAAGTTTTCTGGTAAAGGGTGTTTAGAATAAAGGTGCATAATTGACCCAAAATTCATTGTCCCAAAATCTTGCTGATGCCAAGCTAGGATTTTCCATATAAATTATATACAATCACCAACGATTTGGTACAGTATTACCCCTGGGACCTGGGTAAAAAGATCTCTGTGATTGTTTTTGTCAGTTTATACATTTCGAGACTGTCTGCAAAAGTATGAGTGATTGATCACTTGTTGGTTCACTTAATTGGGAAATGTGCTTCTACTATATAACTCAGTCTGGGTGATTTGTTTTGGCAAGCCTGCCCATCTAAAGAGGCTCATGTAACCAGACATTCATCCAGGGAAAGCGAGCTATAGGCAGGTTACCTGGGTGGCTCGCCTCTATATAAGCAGCCTCTTACATGTGTTTTAGGCTGACTGATAGCCGATAGGAGGGCTACCATAGCAAGCACATGCCATACACTGGGTAACATTAGATGGGCTATTGCAATGCTGTCAAATGTGACTGCATTTCAAACAGATCACATAGGCTATATATTAAAGTATACATTATTATTTAACACGAAATACAACATACATGTATATTACACAAATAAAGCCCCGTTTACACGAGTAAATTTTATTTGACAAATTTCATATGTCAGAGATATTTTGCTCGTGTAGATGATAAATTTGTGACAAATGCATTTGAACAACAAATGCTTTTGATGAAATGAAATTTGTCAAATAAAATTTACTCGTGTAAACGGGGCTAACAACACATATAAGTAGAGACTGTAGATTAGACTTATGGACGTCTGCTAATACAAATTAATCGAATATTTTTAACTGAACGTCTACATCGGCAAATCGGCGGCGAAGCGACTAAAATACAGGCCTTCGTCTTCGATTTAAAAATATAACTATACAGTATATCAAGTAACTTTCCGCACACAAATAAGTAAATACACAATAAACATACCTTTGAAAACAAATACCATGTATCTTATTAGGTCTTTGGAACTTTATAAGTAGAAAATTTGAATAAATATCATTCCCCTTTGAATGTTTGCTCTCGAAGGATTGAACTTGGCGCTTGGTCTTTGTGTGAACCAGATCGAATTACTACAACACGTGATATATTCTAAGCATGCTAATTGGTTAAAACTCTGCAACTTCCACTTGTCGAAAATTATATTCAGCAGAATTCAGCAGCAGAACATTCCACACGTTCAAATTACAGATTTAGGCCAGCAAATAAAAAATATAGATGACTCGCCGACAATTTCTGGCTACATTCGATCGGCGCGTGCGATTGAAGCCGATATACGGTATAATACATCAATGGCATCAATCTGACTTGGCAACATTCGAGTAACCAAAAACGTAAAATTAAAAAAAACCTTTATATCTCGAACTTCGCGCTTTTCGCATCTGACTGTATTCAATACTTTAATAGAGTATAGCCTCAAGCAGAAAAACTCTTGGATTCTCAGGCACATTAATTATATATTGTAATAATTTACTCCAGATCCAGAACAATTTTACTCTTTTTGGGAGTTGAAACGACCCCTGGAGTAAAATTAAGGAGTACAAATTACTCCATAATTTCTACTCCTAAAAGCGAGTTTAGTTTACTCCTCCAGCGGAGTAAAATTGACTCCTGATGGAGTAAATTCTGGAATGCGCGCCGAAGTGGAGTAGTTTTAACTCTATTTTGGGAGTAGATTTTACTCCACTATTTTTACTCTCCCGAGTTGAGTAGTTTTAACTCCTATGGTGGAGTTAAAATAACTCCTTGAAATTAACAGTGAATGTAAAGTTCAAGGCGTAATTGAAAACTTACCACAAAGAAAACTGTGTAGAATGAATTACTTTTAATTACAACAAGCTGGACGGCTTTCATCATACATGTTTCCAAAACTTTCAAGTTAATTTACTTTTAAAGCTATATACCAGATCAATTCTGTTTCATCCAATTAAATTGGTATAGAACTACGAGATTTACCACTTGAAGCTTAGAACAAGAATTCGTACCCTCTGAAGCGAGCAGCGCTGAGCGGGATAGGAATTCGGGTTCCGCGCTGAGAGGGGTAAATCTCGTATGGGATGAGAGGGGTAAACCCCTCAGACCTCCGGAACAAGTAATAGTATCGACTATTGCTTCAAAAGTGAAGCGTATGACAGGAGAACGGATATGTTTATATAGCTCCCTAGCTATAGTTAAAGAAAGAAGAAATTAAATAATACATTTTGGACATTACTTGACTATTATAAAAGCATGTTTTGTAAGTTCTTGTTGTGAATTAAAACACTGTATTCTGGCATGATTTTATCGGATATAATTTACATTTCTTTAGTAACTGAAATAAGACTGGGTTTCTAACTCGTTGTTGGTAACTTTTGGTCCCAATTCGGGTCAAATTGTGTCGGAGTAAAATAAGAAATGGAAATTAGGGATACAGTATAAAGTAATGCCGTAAAAATTACACAGTGACAGAATAAGAGAACGGTTTTTAACGACGAATTACATTGACCATTCGCAATTTAAAGAGGTAATCGAAATGGCCTCTAAACAATAAAGCGATCGATCATCGATCGATAATCATAAATTACTTAAAAATGGAGTGGTGCAAACTTTATTGTCGGGTCAAAAACCTCACAAGTCCTCATGTATAGGTAAGTAAGTAAATATAAGTAAAAACTTTATTTGACTACGCTAACCCCTAGCTACAGCAAAAGCTGCATGGTTTCCAAGAGGGGCGTAGATTAAAAAAATTAAAATATTACAATCAGTTACTATACAAAATATAGATATTATAGATTGACCATTACAATTACACTTACTATCATTACATCTCCGCCCGCTACTCGGAAGTGAAACGCAACCTTGGAATTTCGTAAGAAATCCACTTTGCAATTCTTAAGCATGAACGATTTTTGGCCCCCGCGAATTGGACTTGAATTGCTAATAGATCATATTACTGTTGTACTGTACTTGTAAAATAAAAACTTACTAAGTTCATAAATAAATGCATAAATTTTGCTTTATGCACTCGCGTGTGCAGTAATTTTGACAGTTGTGCTATTTTAAATTCCCAGGCACCTAAAATCTTTGGTCCTTAAAACAATGTCGATTTCTTGGAAAATTCCGAGGTTGCGTTTTTTTTTATGCAGTACACCCTGTATTGAAGTAATCTAATGTTATTAGAACTTGAATGACTGGCACTTTGCTGAACGCAATAATGCGTAACTCCGTAAGCCTTGTTTTAGACATTGAATTTTGGTCGCGTGAAATGCAACTAAGACAATAGATAATGAAGGCTGAAGCTTAATGACGTTTATCATCTCATTATCTATTGACGACGCGACCGAAATTCGTTGTATAAAACGTCCCTAAAATATTGCCAGCGTGTATATAAAATTATTAAGAAATTAGAATAGATTTGTAAACCACACGATTTTACAGCAGCCTCCGTTATATAAGTGAAGATTCCAATTGTATACAATCTAAGAAGCTACCAATAATTACATTATTTGTATACCTTTTATATACCCTGTATACTACGTGCATAAATTATACACGTCCTAATTACGCATTCAGTATTTTTTTTTTTAATTGACCGGGAAAAGCAAGACAAAATTATGTTCATTTCTCCTTCAATTTTTAACCAAATTCAACCAAATTTTAACCAGTTCTTCCTCAGCCGATTAGAAATGCATTCAAAAAATTTCGTATGAATATGTTTTCTATTTTTTTGAGTTATCGTGCTCACAGACAAACACACA